CCATCTCGGGGACATGGGTGCGGGTAGTTACCCAGACAAAGTTCATGCTTGCAAAGAAAGTCTTTTTCTCTCTCTGCTGGCCCCTTTCTTGAAGATTTATATGTCCAATTTATAAACTCTTCTTAATTGTAGAGATAATGTATTTAAAACATATGTGCTTCCTGTAGCGCTGCGTGCGCTTTGAATGCTGTCTGCTTCTTGCCCTGTCTACGTTCACAGAAGGTACTCGTGCATATGGAAACGATCAGGCTACCCAAAAGACAACACACTTGATACTGCTAATTACACGGAATAAACGCTGCTGGGACTATAACTGGTCTCTAGATCTGAGTCAGTGTATTGCTGCTGAGCTAAAGAAGAAGGTCCATAATGCGCACTCATATTATAGCCAGCTAAGTCCCTGCTGCACATATTGCTGATTTCTGTACATGCTACATGGAAAAGAGCCAAGGAATTGTAGAACAAACAAGGATTTTATAACCAGTGTTATTTAAGGATGGGCAAACTGTGAAGCTCCAAAAGTTAATGATTCTAGCGCACTTTCAATTAATTTTTATTGTCAAGCTATATTTCAGGGTACTAAAGACCTCTTGTGATGACAAGAAGGAGTGTGTGAGAACAGGCAGGAATACAGTATACATTGTTATTCTCTCTGATTTGTAGATCAGTGAGTAACCTATCCGGCAGACAAGTTCTTTCTTTCCTCTCATGTTGGATGGAATTCATCTCCATGTTGAGCTACCTTCAGAAAATGCATTTTAGCCATATAAATACAGCATCAGGCATCATATTGCACAAATGGTACATTTGAGCCCCTGCACAGAAGTAAATATCACCCTTTTTGCACTAAGGGTATCTGTTAATACTTGTGTTGTTAATATAATTAAACTTACAATAGCTTGGTACAGAAATCACTGAATAGAGTTAAAAGTGTTAGCTACATCTTAATGACTTACAGAAGGAACTTCTGACACAAGTACACACTGCAGCCTACACACCATGAATTTGAAAGTCTGGATTAAAGCAGGCTGTGCATAAGCAATCAAAGTGATAAAGCCTGGCCTCATGTGAGCATCAGGTTCACCATCTCAGCTCCCTCCCTGTCCCCCTGAAACTGTAGGCCAGAGGTGTGTGTCGGCTAACTGGTAGCAGTGGCTATCACCTAAGGAAAAGAAACCCACAACAAAAAGTTCCAACAAAAATCCAAACCCAAACACACATTTTGAAGATTATTGGTGGAGCTGGGCTCCAATCAAGTGTCCTGCTCCAGCTTGCAGCTGAGTGAGGCGGCTGCTCTGGTCCACTCCTGCGCTGCTCTAGGTTACTGCTTCATCGGCTGTGCTGATTCAGCTGTTTGTCTAGCTGCCCTTTACACTGGTTCTGTGAAGTGATCCACTTAAAAGAGAAGACGTGCTTTTCAGGGAGCATCTATAGTCTTTTCTTATTTTTCTTTTAACTCCAAAGTCCTTAAAAAAATCCTTAGAGCTCAGCTTGATTGGGTGTCATGGGCAGCAGGTGTGTCTCTGTGGGTGTGTGAGGGATGAGGGAAGCTACACCAAGGGGATCTCCTCTAGTCTGAACAGAGGTATGTCTGTAACTCCAAGTGTCAAAAACAGTGTTAAATCTGTTCTGGTGTTCCTACTCTTCTCAAGTCCACAAAGACCATAAAGCACCCTGACACCTGCTCCCACGGTGTATTCACCTACTAGGTGGTCATCCTACTGGCTGCCATATTCATTGCAGGGTAGCCGCTGCAGCATAGTGTCTTCCTTTGGACCCACTGGTTTTTGTAGGCCTAGCATACACTGATTTTTGCCAGTTCAGCTGTTATCATGCCAATCTTACAATGTAAACAACGCCGAAGCTATGCCTGCACTGTTTAAAATGTTAGCCATGTCTAATGCACTAGCACCAGGCTCAGGTTCATGTGAAAGCTGGCATGGGACAAGCCCAGGTATGAACTTCGTGGACACTGTCACCCCACACTTAGGCCATAGATTTTCATGTAGGCTTGGTGGAAGTTACTGTCTCCAGCTCTTCCCGTGACGCTGGAGGTTCCTGCTGCTTCAGATGCAGGGAGGAGGCTGTGGGGTGACCACTTCCCATCTTAGATTGCTGGTAGTTGATAACCTCTGCTAACCTACGTCATTCAGACTGAAAAAATGTGAGAAGCGTTCAAGCGCAGTTCAACAAAGCAGACCTGAAGGGCTGGTAACCTTAGACTGGGAGGATAGCCTTTTCCACCAGCACCTTTGCTTGGGCGGATGTGCATCTGTAGGCCAACCGCCCGTGTGAACGCTGTTAGATTATCTCTAGAGAGTTTATTGCAGAGAGGCCTGCTGCTTATTTCTAGCATGAAACCACACATCTCCTCCTTTGGGCTGACATTGTGCTCCAGCTAATTAGGTGCAGTTATTCAGATAGTCTGTGTCTGCTTAACACGGGTAGACATAATCTTTATGTATGCTACGTAGGGGGTAGATCACCTCTTTTTGAAACGCAGGTAAGCTATTTCATCATTGATTGCAAACCAAGAGCATCTTCATGGGGAAGCTTTCTGCTGAAACCAAAGTGAAACTTGGCTTTCTTATTGCTACCTCTTGAGTCACCGCATCCTTCTCTTGCCACTGTCACCTTTCAGTTTAGAAAGTGGCAACAAGATACGGTATTGAGCAGTAAATGAGATGTAGGTCTCTCTATGCTTGTCTAGAAGTGGTGAATTTATGGAGGGGTGAAAATTTGCTCTTTGAAAGTAGTGAACACTAAAGGGTCCATTTGGGGAGCATGTTTCTAGTGTGCTGCAATTTTACATTGCTTCCCTACGCTTCTTGTGGAGACAAGCCTCAAGGAATCTGAAGGCTTGGCTTATTTTCCTGATCATGCAACATATTTCCTGTCTTGCCCAGCCATGGGCAAATCCTTTAGGTTCACATTTTCAAGCATGAGTTTTAATAGCCTTGTAGCCTGAGATGCGCAGAATCTGTCTTGCACATGTACTAATCATTTACAGCTCTAGCCAAAATTAACAGAAGCTGCCTGAATGCAGAAGTGCACTGAAAATTAGATGATACTTTGAAAAAACAGGGCCAGTTCTGTCTTACTCAGCTTGCTCATATGTTCAGTGGAGATGATAACACCTGTCCAGCTGGGGAGACATCAGGCTAAATTAATTAATGTTTGTAAAGCATGTGAAGCAATTTCTTTTTTTTTTTTCTTTTTAGCATTATTTGCAAATGTAATGGAGAAGAGCTCTTGGAACATTGTTTCTCTTGTTTTGGTGTTTTTATTGGATTCAGATACGGATAAACATTGCCTCCTTCAACATCAAGCTTGCTGCCCATAAAGAATTTGGTTTTGCTTAGAAGGGTTAGGGCATGAGATTTTGGTTCCTCTCACTTGTTTATGAGCACAAATTTGCTACACATAAATCACTGCAGGTCAGAACATTGCTGTTCCCTTAGCGCAAGGTGAGGGAGCGCAGAATCACTCTTTAATGTTGTGCAATTGGGCAGGATTTGGCTTGTCCTGATTTTGCGTTTGGAGGACTCAGGCTGCCCTTTGTGCTTGATGTTTTACTGCATTTTCTCTTGAAGGTCCAGTGGAGAAATCTGACTAGGTGCATTTGCATCACTCACTGCCTGCCTGCTCTTCGTTTGAGTGTTCTGCTGAAATTAAAGTACAGTTTCCTTCTCTTTTGCTTTCTGTGGGATTTCCCAGTGTTTCACCAGGCTGCAGTTTGATGAATTCTTCAAGCTGGTGCTGATGTTGAAAGAAGCAGTTGTATTTTCTTTATAACTGGTCCAGAGTGCATGCAGCTGTAAGATGGACCAGAGCAAAGAAGCAATCTGGCTTATTAAAAATACCATTTCTGGCTTTTAATCAGCTCAGTTTTGTGCAGTTCAGTTTCACAATAGAGCTGAGCAGCAGGGCAAGAGCAGGAGTCACAGAGTCAAGGCCCAGTCCTTCAGGCAGCCTTGCATGGTGGTATTTGCAGAAACTCATGCGCCTTGCTATTTGCGACCCTGTGTCTCTTCATCTCTCTTAGTGCCGCTATCTCTTTGGGGTGGTGGGGTGGTGGCAATAAGTTAATGTTACTCAGTAGCCAGCAAGCACTGGGGATAAAGACCCATATTGTGCCTTTCTGATCTCAAGGCTATCCCCCTCCCCCTTGCCATTCTTTGGTTTACCCAGTAGAGCTACACTGATTCACATAAGCTAACAATCTGTTTGAGAAGAAACAATTAGGCCTATAGAAGTTGTTGACATCTTATTTTCTTTTTTTTTTTTTTTCAATGGCGTAATGGGTACTCCAGTCCAGCTTGTCCTTTTGTGTTTTCTATCCCAGGCATTCCTCCCAAATGCAAAGACCCTGTGAGGATGGGACAGAACAGTGGCTCTCCAAAACATTTTGAACCAAGAGGCTGCTAATGACACGTAGCATTTCTCATAGACCATGATGTGGCTGCTGAGCAGGCTATTAATTGAAAACACTGCTCAAACTAGGCAGGCTCCCTGGGCCAGCTGTGGGCTGCTTCTTGTGCCTCTGAGCCCACAGGGCTGGCAATGGCTGGGATGAGCTGTAGAGCCCGGGAGGATGAACTGCGGTTGCAGGAGGCTGTAAGACCAGCTCGGGTGTCTTTTCCAGGAAGTCAAGTGCACGCTCCCTGCTTCTTCTTTCTCTGTGGTCTTCTGGAGTTCAGCTTAAATCAGATCCTGAAAACAGCATCTTGCTGCCGAAGGGCCAATGGTCCTAGAAACAGGCTCCCACCATAAAAATCCTACAGGAGCCAGATGCCCCTGACCCTCACAAAGACTGATCAAGTGGCTGGTTGTATCACCTTTCACTTCGCTTTGGCAAGGGGGGAAGCACAGGATGATGAAAAGTTTTCAGGTGGAGTTGCATTTTTTAAGTGCTGCAGATGGGAAACAGTCATTCCACACAATGCAATAGCAGCAGACAGAAAGGAGGACTATAGTCATTCCTGAATGTATACTTTGACAGGCTGGATTATCATGTGGAAAGGGAATCTGTTAAATGTATCTCCTGGAGGTATGGGAGGCTCTGTGACACATCTCCTGGAGCAGGGTTAATCTTTGGCCAAAGAACTCCTTTGGAGATCAGAGAAACATGACAGGGAGATGCCCAGCTGCGCTGCCAGTCTTCACGGTACTTCGCTACGTCTCCCTGCAGGTCTATGTGCAGCTGAAGCCGGGTACTCGTCCATCGATCTGCCCGGTAAGTCTCGGTGCTTCTTTAAACCACTGCCTGGGGTAATTCCTGGCCTCCCGGGGTGCTGTGGCAGGTGTCCCCTGAGGCGGGACCCAGCCCGGCCCCTGCAAGACCGCTCGCTCTGCGGGCGGCTGGACGGACGGGCGGCGGCGGCGGCCGGCTTCTGGCGCGCCACCAGAGGGTGCTGCGCAGTGCGCGGCGCCGTGCGGGGGCCGGGCCGCCACCGCCGCCCTCGCCGGGCTCCCCTCACCTCCCGGCGCAGCGCGCTGCGGTGGTGCCCAGCTTGGCCTGCAAGCTAGCCGTGCCTCTTGGGTACGGGTCGGCTGCCCCTGAGGAAAGTGCTTGTGGCCATGTTGGGCTGCGAGGGGAAAACTACGCGGCGGGTGAGGCGGTGGTAGCATCTCGGGGACGTGTGTCGGAAGTAACGCCTGAGGGAACCGATCTGGCAGTTAAGAAGGATCAATTTATTAACTTTGCACTCCTCTGCAGAGTCACCAGGCGTCATTTAACAGAAGAGTTTTAAGACAAAACCAAAGAGAGCATCACCCAGGGAGTCACATCTTTTCACCCGTCTCCTGCCCTCCACACCGTTTGACCACTCCTCCTCACCCCATCGGCTGCGTGCTGTGTGTGGTGCCTGGTGTCCCACAGATACGGGGCTGTTGTGCAGACCATTGGTTATAACAACATCACAAAGAGAGTCCCTAGCAGTGGGGTCCTAGGTGGAAATGAAACCTCCTTGAAATAAGTAAATCCCAGGGGTTTGTCTCCTATTAAGCTAGCAGATAGTTTGTTCATTTTGCTACGGTTTGCAGCATCCAACCAGATACGGGTGGAAACTTCTTGTCTTCCTTCCTCTTTTATATTTCCAGTCTGGGAAACAGCAAAAAAATGTTAGTGAAAAGAGTAACATCTGTGTGTGAGAGAGAGAGAAAATGATGAAGCAGGCTGGCCAGGCAGCCAGCCTCAGGAGATGGTAACACAGAAGAGCTATTCATTCTGAAAGCCAGTTGCTCCTCGCCCTTCTAGATTATAAATTGGACACCTTATTAAGAGCTGATCCTCCAGCAGCCCCACCCTGGGCTGTGCTCATGCTCTAAACCAGTGGAACGTAATCCCATTTCACTATTGATGCCTGTTACTGGATAAGCACATATGCAAGCAGGACAGAGCATACTAAGCAGAAAGAAGCAGCACCCTGGCTGTTTTATGAATTGTCAGTTTAAGAAAAGGAGATGGGGTTTTGGGAAGGAATGGGGAGGAGGTTGGTTTGCACCAAAATTTGAACACTTTCAGGATGATGCTAGCTGCCTTGCCAAATAATTAAACTTTTCTTTTTTTTTTTTTTCTTGTTTTCTCAGTTGTAACTTAAAAATGCTGACTCACTGGCATGGTGTGCCAACCCAAATGTTGCTGCTGGAATCAACCACTGGAAGAACATAATGAGATATGACCCCACAACAGTATAGGCTTGGAGTAGGCCTCCTCAGTGATTCCAAGCTCCTCTTCTAGTGGTTTGCTTGGTCACTTGTTTCTTGTCAGATTAGCTCAGAGGTCTGTACAAATTTAAGCATGTGTCAAGTTGAACAGTTCTTGAGGTGAAAACTTCATGGAAACATAAGTTTAACAAATTCAACAAGGTTTTACATCCTTGGCAAGACTTCCAGACTTTTCAACCTTCATACACCTTTTAACCCTTTGAAAAGCTGCCCAACTGGCATTTGAAATGCACAGTTGCCAAGTTATTGACAGCTGTTGTCAGGAATAAATATGTGACATGTATTCTTCAGGGCTTGTTTTTGTGCTGAGGAAAACAGGATGGAATGTTATAAACCTGTTTTAGTGTCTCTGAATTGTATCCTTGCTCATACATGCATGTTCTTCCTTCCAGGCAAAACCAGCTGAGGGGTTCATTCAATGCTACATGCGTCGTGAGGATTCTGCATCGTCAGAGCATTTAGTCTGAACACTGTATAGATACACATCTGGTTGGCTCCCCTATTGAGGTACTTCTGGTTTACTTTCCTTGGCAGGCAATTTAAACATAAATACACTGCAACTGTGCAGCGGTCAGGAAATTCAAAAGTAATATGGAAATGCAACTTTAAAATATACTCCTCTTCATGAGTAGCAGTGAGTTATGGGCATAGATTCAGGTGTATTTCAATGATATCTTCTAGACTTTTTGACGTATTTTGCATCTCATAAAATTGGAAAGTAGCTTTTGTGTTTTTTTTAGAAGGAAATAAATTTTTGATCTGATTATCATTAGTGACTCATTTGTCATTTGAAAATGTTTATGTAATTCTGTCCAGGTTCTGAGTCCCTCTCAAATGGTGTGTTGGAAAGCAAAAACTGCTCAGATGTTCCTGGATACCTTTATGTAGCTGCCTCCAATTAATTTATGAGCTCACGAAAATGAACATGAGGCATCTTCAACATTCCTCTCTCTCTTCCTTTCATATTTTATAGAGGACACTTTTGCCAAAAAATATTTGATAGTAAAACAATGCCTCTGAATTCGTGCTCTGTGTGTATGTCTGTCTGTATATGATTCCATTGCTCTACCTCCCACCTCCCCAGAAGTGTGAGCCTGTTGGCAATTAATTTGGCAAAAGAATACAGATCTGAAAGTGAAGTTCCTTTAAGGTTGAAAAAGAGAGGCTGATTTGTACATGAGAGAGCCTGTTTGTGCTGCCAGCTCAGCTCCCGTTGTATCAGGCACCAGAGAACCCCCACTGGAGTGTGCCCTTGGAAATCAGACTTCATCCTGTCTGTCAGACATGGACATCTTGTTCATACTGGTGGTTTTGGTATGGTTAGAACAGAGGGGGGAAGGATGGGTTGAAAATCTGGAGTTTCTCTTTTGTTCTGCACTTTTGAGATTTACAGTTGTCTCCTGCAGGGGATCAGGAGTCCATAGTTGTATCCTAGTCAGTAGGGAATCTCTGTCCCTGGTGCACACACCCTTCAAATTGGGTATTCATTTTGTTCCAGAGCAATACAACTGTCAGATTTCAATATTACACTAAAAGTGTGGCTGTCCTTCAACCAATTTTTGCTAAGCTCATGAAGGCTTTGAAAATAAGGGCGAAGCCTTGAATTTAAGGTGGGCCTGAGTTGCCATCAGAGCACAGAACAAAGCTTTAGCTTGTTTGGTGGTCTTGTGCTGCTGAGTAAAAGGACTGAAGCATTCTTGTACAAGGTGTCATTTCTAAACCCGCTGGGTTGTAAAAATCAAGCATAAGAGCCAACTTCAATCTAGCAAGTTATCTGATAGGAAATGATGCTGGAGGATCAAGGGTTGCAGCAAGAGTTATTGGGGTTTCCAGGATCAGTGGGTCCAGATGAACATTAAATCTTCAGTTAGTCTTAATGCCAGCAACAGAGAACGGATGAGACATTATGGGAATGTGAAATACTTTCCTATACCATTGCCAGCTCAGGATCTTACAGCAATTCAGCTTCTGCCAGCTTCTCTTCATTCATTTGCTGATCTCAGCCAAGCCCTTGGAGAGCTGGCTAATGGTGTTATTTGCATGGGAGGTGATGTAGAGATGGGTGTCACACGTGTCCTGCTGACAAGTCAGCTCATGGTGCCACCAAATCTCGAGGCTTTATATAGATATAGAACAGGCTGGCTAAGGGGAAAGAATCTTGTGTTATTCAGCAGGTGGAAAAGGTTTTGGAGGTTAAGGAAAGAGCAAGTGTTTACCATAAATCTCTTGAGTGTACAAGAGATTTATGTAAGGGGTGTCTGAAGATGTACCAGCTCAGTTCCATAACGCTCTGGACAGACATTTATTTTCAAACAGCTGAGCTGGTTGGAGATCTTAGAGCCATTCCAGATGCTTGCTACCAATTCTCTGCTGATGGCATTTGTACACCTTGCTCTGCTATTAGAAAAAGTGGTCCACAGTCTCCCTAACCGGTCAGGTGAGGCCTCACAGAGTTTTAAGTGCTGACAAAAATGGTGGTAGTTAACCCAGATAGCATTGCTTCACCTTTAAGAGAGAGCTTTATGAAAGTATAGTCTTACCCTGAGTTTTAGAAAGGAGGGAGAGAAGGTGGCTGCATAGACAGCCTTTCCCAAAGAACAATTCCCCAGCCCCAGACAGTTCCTGCATGCCTTCTACAGGTCTGAAGATGGGTAAGGCATGCTTATGGGACTGGATGCATCTACTGGAATAGACTATGTTACTCCTCATTTGTGTGAGCATGTACTTGGGAATTTTGTGCCAAGCACATGTGAAATACTTGCTTGTTACAGGAGCAACTAAAACGGAGTATTAGGAGCTGTGTCAGCCTCCTGTGTAAATAAGAGCTCTATGATGGGTACAGAGTCTGGTAGAAGCCCAGGTAACTAAAATATCGTTATTATCCAAATTTACTAACAAAGTGTTCATAAGTAATTGGTATTAATTATCATGTTAGTACCACTGTGTTTAAAGCTGGACCAGCAAGTTACAATAAAACCTTTAACAATATCCAGCTGGGGCAAAGAAGAAAGCCCCTGTGCTGAAGGGATCATTCAGAAATTGGAGGAGGTGGGAAGAAAACGTGCAGATGGTTTTTAAGAGATCCTGGAGTTCCTACAGGGTTTCCAGATCCAAAAATACTGAACTGTTAAAGAATCCTTGATGCATGCACAGACAAAATGGAGTAAGTTATAATACTTTGTGTGGCCTCATAGTAAACATGTCTATGTGCTGGTAGTGCTTAAGTAGCACTTAAACATGGAGAGCTGATGATTTGCAGGTAGTGAAACATGCTTTCTATTATTTCATGGTCCCTTCTGAGGACTGATGAGACTCATGAGTCTTCCCAGCATCCCAGAAAGAACCTGCAGGCTTTCTGAAACATGGAAACGAACACACAATTTTCAAATTCTCCTTTCATCAAGAAGCAAACTTGCTCTTTTGTGTAAAGCTGCTGATTTATTGTGCAACACAAACCTATAAAAATGATCCACCCTAATGTTTGGCTCTGGCTCTGAGATCCCTAACTTACTGCTCATCCTATTTCTAAATGGGGCCAGAATGGAGCATCCTACCTTAACAACTGTCTGAAACTCTAGTGGAATTTGAACTCGGATCCAAACTCAAGGCACAGGCTCTTCTCTAAATAAAAATAACTAGATCACAAGCTATTTTGGGGTGGTGACTTTTAGACAAGAAATGTAGCGCTTGCATTGGTTTTTACTCCTGTCAAATACATCTGGATGCTGTCCGCCTTCCAGACTATATTCTGAAAGTGCTTTCATCAGCTCAGAGTCAAATAACCCCAACTGGAAGGTAGAAACTTTAGAACAACTGACATTATTAATGGTAAACACTGGTGTTTTTCTGGTGATTGTGTTTTTCCACACAGAACATTCTGCTCCTCTAGTTGCTGCTGATGCTGATATAATTTCTGTCATGACTTGTGATGTGTAGCGTATGCAACACTGGGTCAAGATAAGAGCCAACAGCATGTTGGAAAGCTTTCTCTAAATAGGAATCCCCAAGTTCCGGCTTTCTTGGCAGGGAGGTGGTTAACGAATTTGCCACGCCTGGTACCATTTACATAGCTGCCAGAGCTGCTGCTGGCCATCACCTCCTCCCTTCTCCTAGCATCTGCTAGCAAATCTTTTGGTTTTTTTTTCTATTTACTTGGCTATACCTAGTATAAGGATATGAATAGTTTCCATTCATGAAGACTGTGGTGGGATATAGCTACTTATAAAGGGAAGGAAGCAAAGGAGGAAGCAGTGTGCTGGGACCTTATAGTCAATGGCATTAAGTAGCAAGTGCTAAAAAAGGTAAGAGCACTTTTCACCTCAGGAGTTCCAAGAAGTCTGCAGTCTTCAGTTAATTTACTGCTCTGGACTGTGTAAATTATTATCTTGTTGTATTGCAGGGCAAACTAGTTTGCTTAAGTTGTCACAGGAAGTTTTCAGCTTTGCCAAGGGTATAAACTCGGTCTTCTGACTTGTAGGTCTGGGCTATAATTGAAGGAGTTTCTTCCTCTTAACATATCTGGCCTACCTTCCCCTTGATATTATCCTATCTTCCCCTAGTCACTGGGCAACATCTGATCTCTGTGACTTTTGTACAGCATCCAAGATCTATTGTATGTGGTCCAAGGTCTCACCTTTCATTTCTGGCTCTTCTAATTCAGCTTCAGTCCCTGGCAATTCCAGGAGGTTCATCCCAAGCCTGGCTGCCAAACACTTGGAAAGGAGGGTGCACCTTAGAAAGCAGGGTGCGCCTTAGCAGTGTACCTCACCATGGCATGGAGATTTCCCTGAACCGGGCACAGGAATGGTTGTGGTGTCCTCCACTAAACCTACCATGGAGGATGGCTATTGCCACCCACATGCTTCCTGCAATTTCTGCTTAAACACAGGGTTCTTTACTTGCTGCTTGCAATTGGGATGTAAAGCTGCTGCCCCCTCCAAAGTGGCTTTATTTTAGTGTTCAGCTCAGTGATCTCAACAACATACTAGCCAGTCTCCAAGGTTTTATTTGGATCAAGTTAATATATAGCATTGCTTTTGTCAACATTATTATTATTTTTCTTTTGTCTTTAATGTCATTAATTTTTTTCAGGGCTATTGTCTTTTTTTTTTTTTTTTTTCTGTCCCCTTTAAGGATTTGCAGTTGTTCTTTAGGGCTATGGGTGTCATGGACTAAATCCTGCCCTAATTTACAGCTGTAAGACCAATGAAGCTGCACACATGCACGTGAGGTCACAGTTAATACGATGCTGAAGTTGTCTCGCTGTTTTGAAAAGTCATGGTCTAGAGGACTGATGCTGGGAGATGTCATTTAGGATTATATAATTCCTAAGTCTGTAAATCCTGATTTAGCTTCTGTCTTGCCTTATAACAATTTTATAACAGCTTTTTACACAATACAGTGCTTTTCCCCTCCTGTTTAGTACTAAAGGCTTATCTACACCTGGATTGAGAATTGAATTCACATGATAGTTAACATTTGTACAAAGGGTTGAAACTGAGATTTAGGCTTGGTTTTGTAAAGGATATTTACTTTTCAGAATTTGATTTGGCAAAATTTAAAATCCTTTTTTTATATTTTATTCCCAATTCTTTTACATTATATATTTTTGTGTGTGTGTGTGTGTTGTTTTTTGTGTTTTTTTTGTTTGTTTTGTTTTGTTTACTTTTATTTTTTTGTTTTGGACCAGTTGGAAGCTTTGATTTGGAGCTTTGCAGTTTACCTGGTGCAATACAGACACAAAAGTAGAATGAAAGTAATTTTGAAATAAAAGAAGATAGCTATGTCGCATTTCAAACATGCTGAAAATTGCTATAGTACTGATGGAACTCTTTGTTTTCCTGATTTTCTTAAGGAAAATCCTGTTGAAATCAGCTGGATTTTGTGATATGCTTTGATTCCAGCAGAACAGAATTCCAGCAGAGATTTTTTTCCTGGTGAATGGAGAAGAGCAGGACCAGCAGAGCTCCCCATGCAGAGGGTGTTATTCCAGGAGAGTGCTCCCTCACCCGCAGAGAGAAGCAATCCAATACGCTTTCCATCCGGGGGCAGGAGGGGAAAGGAGGGAGGAGAGGGGGGTGAGGATGCTTCCTTCCCAGCGCACGGGGCTGCCAGCCAAGAATGTAAGTCTAAATTCAAGTCCAGGGAGTGCTGTGCCAGATTCAGCGAGTTTGGAGTCCTTTTGTCCAGAAGCTTGCAATACTTGAGGGAACTGCCAAATGGGATGTGTGGCATCCATGTAATATATCTGATGCATGAAAACTGGTTCCTACTGAGCTTACCGTGGTGCCTGAGGCAAAAGTACTTCTGATTCCCCACATGATGCAGCCGTCACCAGACCACTGCTGTTCTCCTTAAACCCAGCCACAATGGTAGTTCAGGACAACCTCCTGCCTCGGGTCAGGCTGAGGCAGATGGCACTCACTGGGAGAGGAAAGGTGGTGCTGCCTTTGACCCTGCTCTCCCTCTCTGGGAAGGGAGGACACAATGCCGTTTGCATTTCTCCCTAAGCTGAACCATTAAGTTTGATGACAGAAATGAACCTTTCCCCCTGGACACAGGCCAAAAGACTGTTTTCTTTCCCTTCCCCTCCTGTCTCTTTCATAACCGTCATTTTCACATATCTCTGGAACGTATCACGTACTACTGTCATGTGTTGTAGGTGTGCTCCCCTTTTTTCCACAGCTATGTCCTGCCTCCCCTCTGCCAGGTGGGATCCACTCCTTGTCTGGCTGCTGCTAGTTTGCCACAGGTGACAGGGTGGACCAAAGCCACTTCTTCTGCCCTAGGGGAGAGCCTCTGGATCTAGGAGAGAGGGAGATCTGCTCTGGAAACACCATCTAGCAGCCTCTGTGTGAACATGGCCATAGCAATACCTGTGGGATGAGAGTGCTTGTGTTCCTGTGCCTCATCAAGAGGGTTCAGCCAGCTGTGCTTGTGCAAACCCCTGGAGGGCTCTGAGGCTGAGCAGGTGTCAGCAAGGACACAGCCTGGGTCGAAGAACTCCTATGACAGCTTGTGCCAGACAGAGAGGAAGATTGTCTTGGTAGGAATTGGTTTTGTGTTTAACAGGGATGCCAGAGGAGGACAGTAAGGAGGGGAAATCCCATGATGATGCTTCCCAGGCCAGTAGTACCAAAGGTGATTTCCCATTTATGTACTAATGGGGTTCGCATCAAATGCCAAGGGGTTGCTGAGGGCTGCTGTGGAGCAGTCTTGATACAGGACATGCCATTGCAGAGCCCTAGCCAAGGGCATCAGTTCAGCCAGTGCCCATGCAGAGGTGAAGCAGAAGCAATGTGGTTTGGTTTGGTGTGGTGTGTGTCTCTTAGGCTTAAATTCCCACTAATCTGTGTCTGAAAAGACCCACTGGGATGTGTGACAATATGTTTATAACCCAGGTCCATGCCTGGATCCAGGCCATTGCCAGAGAGACTTAAGGAGATGTGATCCCTCAATCCCTTGTCTTCCTGACGTCAGCCATGATCCTGGCACATGTTCTTCCAGCTTTCTGGGGCTCTTGTCAAAGCTGTGTTGCTGCACTAAGAGCAGGAGCTCTGGACCAGAAAATGAGAGCTAAAACTTTTTCCTGAGGCTATCCCAGCCCGGGCAGCTGTGCTGTCTCCTGGGCCACAGCTCAGCTGTTCACAGGCAGCAGCCCTGCTTGCTCCCTGCAGTGTGTGCCAGGAGGTGGGTTTCAGTTGCAAAATAGAGCATGGTCTATCCTGCCCTCCCTGGGTTGGGGTCCAGAAAGTGTGCCCTTTCCCCAGCATCTCACCAGTGCAGGAGATACTTCATCACTCCTTCATCTTCTCCTCCATTCACATAGGGGCTGCTTTTCCCCCAGGCACAGAGAGCAATCCCCTGCCTTTCTGTCCTGTTCTGGCTGGGAGTGAGGTTTTCTGTGTGAGCCTCCCAGGCAGCGTGACTTGTTTCCAACACGCTACAGGCAGGCCTCTATTGGGATGAATGTCCCTGTTAAATATGTATGAATCCAATTGACTTTGACTTCCTACTTGTCCAGGTTTGGGGTTATTTTTTTGTCCAGATTTTATTCCTTTTTATTCATTTGTGAATGCCTCCTGCTAAACAGGAGTTGTGACTATGTCTCAGTGAGTTTTGACTTGTTTGAGAAGCTGCCCTCAATCTGCTTGTCTTTAAAGCTTCTTCCCCTCCTCCTCCACTCCATCTCCCTCAGGCTCATTTCTCCCCCACCCCCCCGGCTCCTCTCTGCAGCTGCTGGACAGCTTTGTGACCACCAGTTAGGATGGCTGTTTGCCACTCTCCCATGATTGCTGCCATGTGCTGTTTTCCTTATGCCTGTTCCCTGTTTTGTTCCCCGGTCAAAGGGAAATTCTCTGTAGAGAGAGAAGCAGGCGCAGTTGTGTCTGGGCTGATGTTGAGGCTCAAACTTAGCTTTTACTCCATGGAAAGCCTAGTGCTTTTCTCTATGGTGACCATGTCTACTTGGCAAGAACAAGCATCTTTCTCAACCCATCTGTTCACCACCTTTCTGCCACAGGTTACCAGCCATCAAGCAAACAAAACCTTGGCTGTGGCCATGCCGAGTGAAGTGGCTTCACCAGAGCAGGCTTTTTGTCCTGATGGCTCCTTCTGGGAGCAGGGAGTGAATGGTGAGGAGCATCCTTGCAGCCATTGATGCTGTGAGCACCGGTGCTGGAGCTGGTGCTTTATAAATAGACTCATTGTGAATGAGGCAAAATTCCTAGTGATAGTGGTGCCTGTGTATGGGCATGTGAACTTGTCCGACCTGTGCTGGACGTGATTTCCAGTGGTACCAAAGGAATTTCAGTACCTGACTCCTGCTAAAGCTTTGCCTTGTAAGCTTTTGGAATGCTGTCATTTCCCATCCTCCGCAGCCACTGGGGAATCCTACCAGACAGGCCACACTTGCAGTGATGTGAAGTAACAGCAAGTTTCAACAGAGAGGTCTCTAAGTGCACACACTGGTCCACAAGCTCAAGTGCCACTTGCTGAAGCAGTGGATGGGCAGAAATACCAGCTAAGCTTGGGTGAAGCCAAGGGCTTGCAGATTTCCCAGCCTGCCCCTCTGTGCATCCTGCCAGCAGCTTTTGGGGAAGCTGGTGAGCCATCCAATGCCTTTGACATTGTGGTCCTGGGAAAGGGGACATCTGTGCCCTGCTATGTTCACAGGAAATTTCACGCTGGGCAGCCCTGATGCAGGAAGGCATGACCTTAAAAGAGAAGCACTTTTCCCTCCTCTGCCACCAAAATCCACTCATGTTTTCCTGGGAGCACCTGTGGCACTGGCTCTGCCAAGGAGCCTGCTGTGGCCTTGGAGCTGCTCCAGCCTTTGACCAGGCCATCAGGTTCCTGTTGACTGCCAGCCAGAGCAGCCTGTGAAACAGCGCTGTGAGTCATGGTGAGGTAGCACAGGAAGCTGGAGCACAGGGGAGGCCCCTTCGCCACCCACCTGGGCACTGGGCAGCCTCCTTGGCTGCGGTGGGTGGTGGCCAGCTCCCCACTATAGAGAGGATTCCCACCACTGCAGTGGGGGCTGTATGCCAGTGGCAGGGATAAAGCCTTGGGGACCCACCCTTGTCTTTGCATGAGCTGGGACACAGCTGTGCTGCTGAGGCAGGAGTAAGTGAGAAAGTGGCTACTTCTCCTTCCCTCTCCACAACACATTTTATTTTACATTCAAAATGTATTTATTTTATTTTACTTCATCTCCTCCTATTAAAAAATTACTTAATTTTGCTTTGTTCTTTTTTATTTTGCTTTGTACTTAATTCCCTGCCTGAGCGCTCTTTAGGCTGAGAGTCCCTCTCTCCCTGCTCTGCACCTCCCTCTCTTGCTGCTTGATAGGAAGGTTGTTCCTTGAATACTGGAGCTTGTCCCTGCATGTAGCCCATCATTTGTCTAAGGAGCTGTGGGAAGGCTGTCCCACTGCTTTGACTGGGTGGCAGTGCCTGTGCCAGTCTGGTCTTCACCGTGTGTGACTCAGTTGTCCAGTGCTCCTGCTTCTGCATGTTTGCTGCCCTTTTCCTGCCAGGTCTGAGATGGGGCCAGAGGCTGCCTCTCCTGACCCCCTGTCCCTCTTTAAAGACACAATATGATTCCTTTATCTCCTGACACCAGGCGAGTCTGGGATGCTCAGAGGTGCAGATAACGTGACTGATGTGTGCGCTCGGGGCTGGGTCATCTCCCTGCCCTTGCTTTTATTTCTGGTGGGCACAGAAGGATCCTGCTGCTGTTTCTGCCCCATTGGCAAAATGCAGTGTGGCCCTTCCAGGTTCTGGAAGTAAGGTGGCTGGGCAAGGCCCTCAGGCAAGTGGCAGCAGTGGCTGGCTGCTGCCCCACTGGGAGCTGCAGGGCTCAGTGGTGGCTTCGAGTGGACGGATGGGTTCAGGCTGTGGCCCAAAAGCTGACAGGGAAGCCAGGCTGTGTGCAAAAAACCATTTATGGCCTGGCAAGTGAGTTAGGGGAAAACATGATTCCTCCCTAAACCACAAGTGGATACTTGTGCTGGGACATCTAGTCTAGGTCATGATTTGCCTGGAAAAGTTGGACCCTTAAGGTCCTTTCCAACCTGGTATTCTATGATTCAGGGTTCCCATTTCTTCATATCTACTCATCTAGGAGCACAATGTACCTGGCCTGTGCATGCTTATAAATATCCATTCACTTATGTGCTGAAGCATAAATTTAAAACTGCTACTGGTAAAATCACAGAAGAGCAAGCAGAATTTTAGTCACCATTAGCACAGAATACCAGTGATCTTCCCATCCAATAAAACAGTGCATTTTCCTGTTACATTTTACAATGAGAACTTAAAGCCTGGCATCTTCCAATTTGATAAGCAAAACATGTTTACAATGACAAAAATCTGTGGGAATTCAGTATTCTCTGGGTCATTGGATTAAAAACCTGTCTCTTAACTTACTTACCTCTCCCCCTATGGCTTTTACTGCACCTTTTTCCACAAGCATCAGAGCATTCATGTTTTGTCTTTTCCATGGCCAGATGAAATCATCTTGGAGTATGTGAAAGATGCATGTAGTGGATTTAAATCTCTGGGATAAAGAGAGAAGCTGAATAAAGATCCCCTCATAAGGTGGCTCTTATTGTAAGTGCAAACGTCTTAGTGCAAGCCCCAGCTGCCACAATTCTGCAGCTGGCTGCTGCTAGGGCTACATCATCTGCAGCTTCCTGGTTCCCTGGATCAGCCAAGGATGAAGGCTCTGGGAGATGGTGCTCCTCTGGCAGGGACTGCCAAGCCCAAGTCAGGCGAATGGAAGGCCTCTGCAACTTGGTGTGTGACTCTGCTCCTCTGGAATTTGGGAAAACACCTTCCTGTTTGGTTTTAACAAATCACTCTGAGGCTAGGTCTTGCAACTTGTTAGCATCTGTGGATATTGGCTACAGCTGGGAGATGCCTAATGTTTTGGAGAATCATTTCCATGATACGTACATGATACTCAAGTGGGATGTTGCATGTTTAAATACTTAAGTTTCCAGGAAGCAAGGATATGCAGATACTCTGACTCACAAGAAGAAAAGTTAGTTTAGTGACTCAAAGCCTTGGATGCTGCTGTTTCTTAGTTAATCACCATGCTTCAGGGTCGGTCCAAAATCCTCCTTTGAAGACCAGAGAAAGTTTGTGGCCTTGAGGATCCTTCCTGCTCTAGTGCAGCTCATTGAGTGATTAACCTCCTGCTGCCCATCAGGAATTCCTGCAGACTGATTTCTGGGCTGTTCCCACAGATGACCTGGCAGGCTCTGAAAGCCTGATGGAGGTAGTTTTGCCTAAAAGGTGGACTTTGTGGGGGACACTTGGACTTTTTGGGGGTAACCATGTAATTTGAGGAATCCGACAAAGGTACTTTGCAGGTTTGGCAGCGATCTTGTGATCTGAGGATGTGGGGGATGCACAGGTGGTCATTCCTGGGTAGAGAGGGATCTAGCCATGCACTAGAGGTGAGGAACCCAGGGAGAACCCTGCAACTGTGCCTTTCTTTTGCAAGAACACAAGAAGATGTGCCACCCTTTGCCTTGGTGTGGCTCATCGCCAGGAATCTGTTCCCATTGGGCAAAAGGTGAAATTTATGTCTTTCATAGCTTTGTGTTTGATTTTGTGTCCTGTGGTTATTTGTACCAAATGGTACAAACACCAAGTATTATGCACTGAAACTACAGATAGCTCATCTCCTCTGCCCAAAGACCGAAGTGTATGCTGCTGTCAGCATGGGAAAATAGTATGTCCACGAATGGGAATAAGGAATATTTTTTTTCAGAGTTTGTGACAATTTTGCACTTAATTGGTATGTAAGCGACCTAGCAAATCATAATTAAAACCTGAGTTTTCCCCTTCTTAAAACTATGTCTTAAAATGTAGCTTGCCTTAAATATCTGAGCCAAAAATGCAAGCTTTTGGAAGAGGTGAAGCATGCCCTCATGTGGCAATATTTTTTCCTTAGAATACCTGTTTATTTTGTTTTTAATCCCCAAATAATCAATTGCAGTGTGTTATGTCGTTGTATCAGGACTGGCATACAGAGCTAGTGTTGTGATACAAAGCTGGGGTACACGCAAAATGTTCGGAAATAATTATATGGGCTCTAACTCTCTTGTTATTTGGTCCCTGCATGAGTCCTTTTATTCTAGAATAAGAATAGCTCCACACAAGAATTCTCAAATAAGCAAAGGTGTGAATTAAAACTTGTCCTGTCCCCTGTTTTGTGGGAGAGTTGCTTCCCATGACTGAAAGCAAGGTTTAAAATTGTTACAAAGTGGACACCTTTATTTGAAACCTGAATAATCAATCTTGAAGTCAATTTTAAACAAACCAAAATAACCTGAAAAT